ACCCCCAAACCCAAAACCTAAACCCTTTGTCCTCATCCTCCTGTGCCCTCAACTCTAAACTATAAACCGCTAAAGGAGCCCCTGTAGCAACCCTTATGAACGCCCTGGAAGGACCCTACGACCTCGACTCCCGGAAAACATCAACACAATCCTAAAGCTCAATCAACCCCAAAGCCCAGAGTACCTTACCCTAAACTACCCCAAGCCCTATACCCTATACCCTTCACCCCTAACTCCTAAAGCCTAAACCCCTTATTCTAAGCACCTGCAGTCCCAAGAGGCCATGTGCGTCGGGCGAGGGTGGCCAGGAGGAGGCGAAAGAAGAGCGAAGCCCTGAGGTGTGGATTGGGGTCTGTAGGGCTTCGGGTTTAGGGGTTAGGGGTCAGGGGTTTAGGGTTTAGGGTTCAGGGTTTGGGGGTTAGGGGTTAGAGGTTGTGGGTTCTGTAATGTAGGGGTCTCTAGAATAGGGTTTTTGGGGTATATAATACCATAATATATAATTATTGAGGCCCCTATAGTAGGGTCTTCAGGATTTAGCGGTTAGAGGTTGTGGGTTGGGGGTTTTTGTGGTTTAGGGTTTGGGCTTTAGGGGTTGGGGGTTTAGGGGTTGGGGTTTGGGGGTTTGTCGTTTAGGTTTTCAGTTTAGGGCTGAAGGTTTCGGACTTATGGTCAAGGTCTCGGTTTTAGCAGCTATAGGGTATGATCGACCCTCCTCGATTCCCTTAGGCAAACCAGACTTGCTATAGAGGCCTCAATCCTCATCCTCTCAAGATCAGGTCTACGGAAATCCCGGCACTAATCATCCCAAATCCATGCTCCAACTTTCTGGGGTGCACTCTAAGGCCTAAACCCCAAACAAACCCAAGCAATCCGAGCGGCTTCGACGTCTTCTCGAGGTTCTCTCTGGTCTCAAAAAGCCTCCAGAACTGCTAGTAATGCTAAAATAATGTAGGAATCTTAAAAAATTAGAATAGAGCTTTGAGCCCCGTATACGTACAATAAGGAACCAAAGTAATAATGTTTGCAATTATTTAGGCTTGTATATCATATGGGTGGTTCTCCACATCATGGTCCTTTGCTAAGTCCCCCCAAATCGTACGGCACACTTATACCCCAATTTAGAGAACTACCCCTATCGAGGCCTTTGTACTTAGACTAGGTTTCGGTGTACTTTCACCCAAGTGATCGGGAACCCTGTGGAATAATCTCGAAAATAATTTTCCGGCTTCTAGAAAATACAGGGTGTGACAAAGGACTTCGAAGTTTAAAACTCAGGAATTCTCTTGTAGCGTTAGAGGGTTAAGGGGTGTCTTACGCTTTTCTCCCAAAACCCCTAATTTTCAGTTTAGGGTTTAGAGTTTGAGGAGTTTAGGGTTTAGGGTTTAGGGAGTTTAGGGTTTAGGGCTTAGGAAGTTTAGAGTTTAGGGTTTAGGGTTTAGGCTTGAGCCTTCTTTATAGCCATGATGCATTCTGGGCTCAAGGTCTAGATTTTTGCCCATGACAATCGAACCTCTGATAACGGGTCTAAAGAAACGAAGACGTGATAGGGCAAAGGATAAGTAGGGTTAAGGCTTTCAGTTCCACATCTCTGCGTTAAACCATAACGGTTCAGCCACTGGTTCGTTGCCGCCTCTTGAAGAACTACACCCGCCGCTTGCGATGCACATGCCACATTCCTGGTCCAATTCCATATAGTTCTGATACCAGGAGAGAGCCTAAACAAACCCTAAACCCTAAACCCCTAAAACACTGAGCCCTGACCCAAGAAACAGGCTCTCGAAGACCCGAAGGAGACAAAACCTGCTGCTTCGCGGAAGCCTGAACCAGCCCGAGAGCCACCACTACTGCTGCTGCTACTACTACTACTACTACTGCTACTACGACTACTACTACTACTACTACTACTACTACTACCACCTACTACTTCCACTTCTACCTCCACTTCTACTTCGACTTCTACGACTACTAGGTCCAATAAAGCACAACACACCTCCTACCACTTCTGAGACCAACCAGAGCAACAAGAAGATCAATGCTTCAGAGCTCAGAGCTTCACGCTTTAAGGGTCTAGGATTGAGGGTTTAGGGCTTATGTTGGTTTAGGGTTCAGGGTTAAGGGGTGCCGAATCCGGTGTACAAGCCGGAAACTGATAAGACTCTTTCAAGCACCTGTGACTGACGCTGCCTGTGGTAGGTGTTGGTGCCCCAACCCCTCTAAGTGTTTGGGTTCACGGCTCAGGGGGCTTTATATTGGGGCTGTAACCGGAGACTACATGTAAATATTCAAGTCCCCATACCTTCTATCAGCCAGGGAGCATTGGCACCGTAATTAAAGTCTGCAACAAGAGGTACCACACCTGGGTCGGAAGGGTTTCATGGAGTTGTTGTTGGATTCTGTCGGCTGTAGGGCATTGTTCTAAAGCTACCCTACATACATCTCATAGTACATAGTAGTACATAGCCTACATCGAACGACCCTATTTGTTCAATCCCTGACCCTGAAGTAGCCCACCATTCAGGCCAATTACCAATTAAGTGTGACGTTTGCGGTCAGAAGGAAACCCCACATTCGGCTTGCTTCAGGGTTCACGGGAAGTGATAAGTCTGATAAGTGATACATGCGGATAGAAGTACCTGAGTTAGAACTATTTGACAGCGCAGCTACACCAAGTACGTACTACGGTTGATGGACAAAATCCTGCATTACCCACTATAAGGAATATACCATAATTAATTCCCATAGTTTAGGGTTCTTAAGGTCATGCAGGATTTTGTCCATCAGCCGTAGTATAAGCCCTGCACCCTACAGACTGAGCCCCTAAACCCCTAAACCCTAAAACCCGAGACCCTAAACTCTAAAACCCGAGACCCTAAACCCGAAAAGCCTAAACGCTATTCCCTAAACCGTAATCCCTAAAACCCGAAACCCTAAACCGGAAAACCCGAGACCCAAACCCCTAATCCCCAAAAGCCGAGACCAATAACTCTAAAACCCGAGACCCTAACCCCTAAAGCCCGAGATCGTAAACCCTCGTCCGAAGCCCCTTGAACCTTGAAGCGGACCCTAAGACCGAACTTGGCGCGAGCTGTGCATTTGGGGTTTAGGGTTCGAAAAAACCAAAGCAGATCAGTCTGTATATGGCTTGGGGCGATTCCGGTTGAAGTCCAAACGTTGCAGTTGGGATGCCAATATGATGCTTCCGTTAGATCAGGAAATCCCCCGTCTTCGGTGATGGCTAATCTGCATTCTGATTCTAATTATTAAGGCCTACATGACACAAAGGCTTGATAGGGGTCCTGCAAAAAGCGCCCGGGTCCCGTTAAACGAGGAGAACTCCTTGAATCATAGTGCGGAGGCGCCTAGTGTTTCGCCGATATGGCTAGTTATCCAGATTAGGGTCCCTTTAATAAGGGTGCCGTACCATATCGGGCATCTCGAGCGGGACCCTAGTTAAGAGAACCACCCGATGTGTGTTAAGAAGTTGTGGGTTTGCCTGACAAGCTTTAACCTAGGTTCCCCTAGCAAGCACTCCAAAATCGGATCACAATGGTTCCCATTTTCAGTTGTAGACCTCCTCATCCCCACCCGCCACCCACCACCAAACACAGAATAACACAAAACGTACTTAGGCTACTTCGATGAGCCCTGCAGGTGGAAGGAACATGATGTTCGTGCATATCTCCTCGATCCTTTAAACACAGATTCAGTCTTCACATTTCAGCAAGTTCCTCGCTAAACCCCACACCCTGAAACTTAAAACTTCCACCATAATCACCATAATCCCTAAACTCTAACCCCTAAACCCTGAACCTTAAACCAAAATCCCTAGACCTTAAGCCCCCTTTGCACGAAAGGCACATCCAGCGTCTGTGGTGACAGCAGCTTCTGGAAGGACACGAGCAGAGTCAGCACTGCATAGCCCAGCCTCGGTGGCCCCACCAGATTATCGGATCCAGGGTTCGGGGTTCGGGGTTTAGAGTTTAGGGTTTGGGGTTCAGGGTTTGGGGTTTAGGGTTTGGGGGTTTAGGGTTCGGGGTTTGGGGTTTAGGGTTCAGGGTTCGGGGTTCAGGGTTTAGGGTTTCTCAACCCAGCACGAAGGGTTGTGAGCCTTTATGTGCTCAAGGTTGCACACGACAGGATCAATGCATGAAACAACCCAACAATTATGCAAAGCTATCCCATGTAACGTGGATGCAGCTCGCAAGCAGCAGTATGGAGTTGGGTCTACACGTTTCAGGACGAGGATAAACGATCCGTAGGACAACACGCCCAACAAACCCGAAACCCTTTTCGAGCCCTAAACCCCACTCGCTTAATCCCTGAACCCTCTGGAACCCTAAACCCCAAACCGTTTCCCAACCAAAACCCTAAACCCCTTGAACTCTCAACCCTTAACCCCAGCCCCTGTTGAAAACCTAAGCCCCACGCCCTTTCATTTCATGTCGGCCCTAAACCCCAAACCCTAAGCCCCTTTCATTTATTGTCGGCCCTAAACCCTCAACCCTAAACCCTAAACCCGCAGCCCTGTCATCTACTGTCGGCCCAAGTATCGGTGCATGTTGTACTATAATTAAAAATTAAGGGCCCCCCAAAAAAGGTATCTGTAATCATTAAGGCCCCTATGGTAATGTCGGCCCTAAACCCTAAACCCCAAACCCTAAACCCTAAGCCCTCTCATTTAATGTCGGCCCTGAACCCTACACCCTAAACCCTTTCATTCAATGTTGGCCCTAAACCCTAAACCCTAAACCCCAAGCCCTCTCCTTTAATGTCGGCCCTAAACCCGAAGCCCTAAGGCCTTACATTTAATGTCGGCCCTAAACCCGTAACCCTAAACCCGAAGCCCCTTCATGTAATGTCGACTCTAAACCCTGAACCCCAAACTCCTTCCTTTAATGTCGGCCCTAAACCCCAAGCCCCAAGCCCATTCATTTAATGTCGGCCTTAAACCCTAAACCCTAAACCCTAAACCCCTAAACCCCTCAGCCCCAAGCCCTTTCCTTTAATGTCGGCCCTAAACCCTAAGCCCTAAACCCCAAACCCTGAACCCCAAACCCCAAGCCCATTCCTTTAATGTCGGCCCAAGCTTCATGCAGGACTCATCCAAGGTCTCATTGAAGGGGTGCGAGTCGGAGCCATCCTCGGAGCTGCTCTTGCTTTTTTGTTTTAAGAGTTCATGTATTTATGGGTTTAGGGGTTTAGGGTTTAGGGGTTTTAGGGGTTTTGGGGTTTAGGGGTTTTAGGGGTTTACGGGGTTTAGG